TACTGTAGTAACATTTGTCTTGCAAATATACTTTCAATTTTGATTTGAAGAAATTTTTATTCCGTTGCTCTCTCAGGTTTGCGGGAAGATGATTGAAAAACTTTATACCTCTATATGAGGGGCTTTTTTCATAGAATGATGAAGTGTGTGCAGGAATTCTGATGAGGTCTCCGTTTCTAGTTGGGTAACCATGGCAATGAGAAACTGTTTGATACATCTCAACATGTTGAATAAATAACATTATACATTTGAAAACATAAATATATGGAACTGGTTTTGGATCGAAAATGAGCCGAATAATCCTTTATTGGGAAACAAATATTCTGTTTGAGTTAGTGGAGCATCCCCAGATGTTGATGTTATAAGATATGTTGCAGTAGATTAGAGCATAATATACATTGATGAGTTGATTGGTATTGAACATATTTTTTAATTGCAATATAGCATAGTAACCTGTGTTATCAGGGACATAGCTGAGAGCAACGCGTACTCGTCAAATATAGTAATTATGTTGATTACAAAACGTAAACTTCAGGAGAATCTTCGTAAATTATCGAATCTCAAAAAATATATCGATTCAAATTTCATTATTTTACCATATGAACTAAGACTAGCGGATTAGATGAAATTTCCAAAAATAAACTTTTAAATCTTCTTGCTCACTTCAACTGATGTTAGGATACCCTAAAGATAAGATGTTGGGAAATGAAAAGTCAGGGATGTATTAGAACTGTGACAAAAACATATAGGTTTCGCTACAGACTAAGCGAGCTTATGAAACTTGTTTCAAAGAACACGAAGATGATATTCATTTTTTGAGGTCAGAAAAATCTAGTTTCGCTCATCACGCATAAGAGAACGGCCTCAACTGTTTGAAATCATTGAAATCGGTAGATGACACTAGTTCTTTGGATGCTTTTAAAAGTCTGGAAATAGCAAAGTGTGACATGAAAGATATAAAGACTGACAAAGGTCCGATTCCAAATAGCCCAAACAGAAAATTCATCACGGTTTCCTTCCCGAAGTCATTGATGTGTATGGGAAAGTGAAAGATACTGATGGAAACCAGTTTGAAGAAAGGAGTTAGTGTATTTGAAGTCTTCAAAACGACAAACTAGTTACTTAAACGCGCGTGAAGTAGACGTTGTAAGTTCTATTATTTGGGGACAGTGCTTGTTCTGGATTTGTTTCAAGCCCGAGATTCAAGTTCTACCTTTCGTCAGAGTACATACAAAATTCATTTCAGTTGACGACTCAAAGACTGTATTATATACTGACAATCTGAACATCCGGAAGTGTTTTTTCACCACTCGAAAGCCGCCTGATTTGTCCATTCCTTTCAAGTCTGCGGGGAACACCGCTCATTGCGTTTTCCTCATCTTTTTGTAACATCGATACTACTAGTACTATTGCTTGTACTAGTTTGTATCAATATCTTGTTGGTTCTATGATAAAGATTGCCCATAAACTTTTCCCCTTCAGAGATTTAGTGCCTCACATGCATGAAATATGATGAGCTGTGCCTGCCTCTCTGTTGCGTTGCTTCCTGTTAAAGAAACCTTATTCTCCCCTATTCTGTTCAGATATCCACTGGAACAATAGTGTCAATAGTTAGTAGCCCTGTGATTATTATAAGCCGATTTCTGCTTTGTTAAAGCATTTTTTAGTCCTCTTTTCGGACCTTATATGAAGGTTTCCCTATGGATGATCCCAGATATATTTTTCCAGAGAATGTTTATTGAAAATCCTACAAGTGTTACCTGAATACATCAAGTATCGGCCAATTTCATTACTTATCATTTTTGGTCCATCAGATTTCCAAGTGCAGCCTTGCTGTCTGTGATCTTTCTCTTGAAATTTTGGTGTATATA